TCACGCGCATTTTATAATTGATGAGACCCTTCATAGATTACAATTTTTTACTCAATATTTGTGTGATTAAATTCACAATTATTAAAAATTGATACATTTTGTGCCTGAATTCTGAAAAAAATATATCTATTTCAATCAAGTTTTAACATTTCTTTTGCGAAAACTGCTACCATACGATGCAAATACGAGAGCCTATTGCTGATCAAAGGGGATCAGCTATAGGCTCTCGTATATACCTATTGCTTTTCACTATTGATCGGCAAATACCTATTGCTGATCAATGGGGAAAATTCTTGGTCAAATGATTTTAAAAAAGAATAGTAAAACAGAATTAAAGAAAATGCCTTTAAATGAGAAATTATCTTTTATTTTGATTTTGAAACAATTCGAATCATGCTTCGAAATTTTTCGGAATTCGAATTCTTGATTGCCATTTTTGTGAGGTACCGACAATTCAGTACCGATAATATTAATAATATATATATTATGTAGTGAGGGAGAGATCCCCCTCCCCTTACTTTTGAGATACTTCTGCGATCTCTGAACAGAGCCTCAGAAAAACAGCCTTAAAGGTAGTCAATTTTGACTACACAAAAAATAAACCAGTTTGCGTATTAGCCAATGTTTTAGAGAAATCGTGTTGAAACAAGAAAAACTAACGTGGTATTCAATACATTTTTAAAATCTACTTAGTCGAGAAATAAAAAATAAATTCTCAGCCGTTGTTAAGCAGCTCATATTAATAAATCAAATATCTTAAGTTTCTTTGGCGGATTTTATAATAGAAGTTGGCTTGCGTCCAAAATGATTCACTTTTTAAGTAGTCTAAGCATATTATGATGCCGTTTGAATACTTTCAGTTTTGGGCTGAGGTGGCTTATATTAGAATATTTAATATTTGATGTTTTCTGCTAGATCCAGAAAAGTATCATTAACTCGAAGCATATGCTAACTAATGTTTCTCGAAAATCAGACGTGTCTTATTCGCACAAATTCCAATCATAGAATTAAAAAAATTTAGTACATCATAAAGAGTGGCGAGGTTCTTTAAAATTTTGTGGATTTTCATATTAATTAAAACATTTTCATTTATGAGAATTATTTTTCTCTATTCTTTATCTCTAGTTTGAGGTTAGCAATCAAACCAAATTTTCATATGGTAACTGCGTTGAATGACACGATTTTTGAAGACTATACATTCTTTAGAAAGTGTCAGGGAACGTAGCATTTTTAAAAAGTGCTTAAAGGTGCTTATTTTCGTTTTTTAAAAGCCCTTGAAGGTGCTTTTTTCATTGGGTGTTTTTAAAAAGTGCTTAATTTTCCCTTTTCTAAATTAAGATTTTTCCTTTACCCTGTTGATTTTCGCTACGAATTATGCAGAAAGACACTTCACATTGTTCTATTCAACGTTTTCACAATTAATTCAACCCCAATCTATTTCGCCGCATCGTCAGTCTGTAGCGTATGAAAACGCCATTCGATTTACATGATTTAAAAATTTTTGACAATTGTCAAAAACAATGACAAAAGGTTTTTTTTTTTTTTGACATGGCGGATAAAACCGTAAATTGTCAAAAGCTTTCCAACCCTGCCTAGTTATGATATTTTTTTAAAGTGCTTAAAAATATGAGTGTGCTTGAAAAAAGTTTAAAAGGTGCTTATTTTTTGTTGAATAATTTGGCTAGACATCTTCATTTTATTTACTAATTGCCATTGCAACGCAATAAGTAAATGAGAAAATATAATAGCGGTTTTTAGTAATGCAGGTGTAAAACTCGTAGGGGACGATTTTTATACATTTTATTAGTTTGAAATAAGTCCGAAGCCGGAGTGAGCCCGTTACATCTCTAATGGTTATTATCGTTTTGAATTGAATTTTTCATTTAAAGTGTTCAGTTAATGTTCTTCTTAACCTTTGTGGAAAGAGTTTTTGAAAAATTAATTCTCTGATTCGATTTCATACAAGCATTGATGTAATAGATTCATTTTTAATTTAATTCTGTGTGATCGTATATCCGATTCAATCCGGACTGAACGGAAACTCTTATCTATAATTGAAGAACTAACTTGAAAAAAAAGAGGGTTGGATGGAATTTGGTGATGAAATAAGACTCAAGAACAAAAACAGTACATATACTGTAGATAAATTAAAAAAATATATTTCTACCGATCTCTTTAGACAAGTATCACGATTAGAAAACTTCAGTTTCATAATTCTTATTTAAGAAGATGTATCTTTCTTAAATTTATTTTTTCGCAGTATTATGAAAAATCATGGCAAGCCATTCATAGCGAGTTGTTTTAATTAATATTTAAAAAAAATTTCTTTTATTTTGATTAATTTTTCAAATGAAACGCTTTAAATGAGATTTGAATTATTTACGGTTTGTTATTATAACACTGCTAGGAATTTTTTTTCTGTGATTATGACAACGCTTTAATTATTTCTTGCTTTACATGTTGTTTTAAAACTAGTGTAGCAAATGTTTACTTTTGCTGCTTTAAATTAATATAACAAGAGTGCGACGAATTTTAACGATCAGGGTTAAACATAAATGTTTCTAAAATTGAGAAATACAAGTTTTGTTGGAGTTTTTGACTTACAAAATATATAATTAAAAAATATAGCAGACGATTTTTTTCGATAAATACATGGCTAAAAATGTAACCCACTGTCACGTAAAACGATTTCTTACATTTTTGTTTTATCAAACGATATATTTAGTAAATTACAGACGATTTTTCCTTATCCTGTTCTCAATTCATTTAATATTTGTTAGTTCATAACATAATAACATGTTTGATCTCAGTAATGTAAATAACTTTTTTTCCTTGAAAAATATTTCTGAGCATGAGAATAATCACATACAGGGTAAAGAACAAAGTCATTACTAACTAATCACTTAAAATTTCAATAAAAAAATAACTCATTAAACTTATTTTTGTTATTTTATTTTATTATTTATTTTCTTGCAACATTAAGTTAGCGCTTTTATTTTTGATTTCTTATCACATCTTGTACCAATAATTGTGCTTTTAATTCCCATCAATTAGTGTTATTTTTAAGTGAATGTATACAATACGACAGCCTAAGGTTTATTTATTAAATTTAGTTTATTGTATTTGGGACTGTAATATGTTGCAAACAGTATGTTAATTAAGGAAAATTATCTAAAAATGAATATTATGTAGTTTTTTTTTTTTTTGGTGACCCAATTTAATTTATATGATGATTTGAATAAAAGCTATAAATTTTCATTTGTTATTATTATTTATTTAATTTGTTTTTGGAAAGCATTGTTCTTAATTTATGTTCGAAATTGTACAAAAGAGTTCGTAATTACTTTGCCTATTGTTCTAGTTTTAAGTGCAGTTAGCACAATTTGTAGGCTTATATGTACTGTAGTTTTATACTTTGTATTAGCCAAGAGGCAACTCGTTATTTAATATACCAGTGGTAGTAGCTACAGCATGTTTCAATCCCAAAAACAACGAAGGTTTTCCAGTCAGTAGCGCCATCCATTGATGAGCTTAGTAACTCATTTTGAAAATTGTTTCGAAAAACTTTTTTCGTTTTATAAGCAGAACGCATCAAATCCAACGTGTCCAATTTTTTTCTGTTTTAAATAGATTTTCAAAAAATTGTGTTATTTTAGGGACATATTCTTAAAGTTTAATTCATTATTGTAATTTATAATGCAGGTATAATTTAATTATTATCTGCGTAATAATACAACCTGTAATGATTTTTGAAGCACTACATTTTAAAAGCACACCTATCATATGAAAACATTTATTGCGAATGAATTATTATTCTATTATTGTAGACAAGTTTTCTCTCAAAATATTTGACAGCGATATTTTCGATGTCCTTCAAAATTCTAATCCGCACTGTTTTATTATAATAACCTGAAAACTTTTGAGGTCAATGCCAATCTTACTTTCTCAGATCATGTACGAATCTTTTACATCTACCATAAAACGGACAACATCAGCTTTTCCAATTTATGTAGATTCGTTTACTGTTTATGATTGTTTCAAACTTGACTTGTTTCAAATAATCACATGTGTAGCAACTGTAAACGTAAATAAATAAAACTTTTAAGTCTTTGATATGTTTCATTTTCTCCATTAAATAATCAAAGATTAAGATGAAATTAAGAGATAAAACTGGAATAAAATGAGCACATAAATTTAACTGAATCAGGGCATGGAAAAATAAGAAGACAAGATGGTAAATCAAAAGATAATCGAATCATTAAAAAAGCAAAAAGTGGTGACTAATAAAATACAAAATTTTATTAAAAAAGATTAAACTTAGCAACTTCTTCTAGCATTTGTTTTTTCTGTTTAACAATGAACGTTAATAAATATCAAAAATCTGAAATGTTTGCTATTGTGGTAGTTATGATTGAATAATAAAAGCGATAATAAATAAACAAAAATGAATTGAGTTTCTACAACTTTTTACAATTTTTGTCGCTTGTGGCATCTCTGATATATGTAGTTCAAAAAAAGGAAAATCTTGGTGTCCGTTTGCTGGTCTAAATATATGCTCTTAATGCTTAACTTTTTTTTCGTTACAACACTTTTTATGCTGGAAAAGTCCACAAATAAGCGAAAAGAAAAGAAATCCGAAGATAATAAAGTTATTTTTTTTAAACAACTTATGCTCTCTATGTTGAACTTATTTTATTACAAAATTTATTTTATATTTGAACTTTGTTTATTATTTATTATCATATAGCTATTTATGCTATTTAGAGATTCAGTTGCATTTTAAATTAGTTTTAGCTCATATACTTAAAAAACAGTTTTTATTGACTATGACGCTGTTGTTTTGCTTTAAAAATAAATTTAATGAATCATGCAAAATTAATAGTTAAAACTTTGGTAAATTATGGTTATGTGTGAATGAGATGTCGATTAAATGTAATGATAATGTAATGTGTTGTGTTTAGTAAAAGTGTGCATCATATTTTTTTGATTTTGTCTTTCAGGTATCTATACCGATGTATTTTTTATTCTGAATAAAGAAGTGGTGTGTAGTTGGTGAAAAATGCTAAATTATCATTTTCCAAAATATCGATGGGTTATCCATACCCATAGGAATTATCGTTCATATGAAAGTCTACGTGGATTTTCCTTTCTTAGCCGTTAGGAAGATTTTACGGAATTTTTATTATTAAGTAAGTGTATTTTTAATTCATAGTATTTTATGAATACTTTATTGTTTTATTAACGTAAGATAAAAGCATAATATTTTTGAAATTAATTATTAAACACTTGCAGCTATGAGTACGATATTATTCAATTTCTTGTTATATATGGGGGAGAGTGGGGTCAATTGTAACATTTTTTACTTAACTATTTTTAACTAACAAAAAATCCAATATATTATTAGTATTAATTGACAGACGAGTAAAGTAGACTATCCTCTACTACAAAAATAATAAATACCTNTAATTATTAATCACTTGCAGCTATAAGTACGATATTATTCAATTTCTTGTTATATATGCTAATTTCGTCTTTTAGGTTGTCTTTTAGAAAAAAGTATTACGTGTTTTACGTTAGTAGCTTTAATTTTTTGTTATGTTTTGTTATTAATTATTAAACGCTTGCAGCTTTGAGTACGATATCTTTCTTTATTTTTTTGTACGACAATGCCATCTTTCAAGTTGTCATGTGGAAAAATAATTTTTTTCATTACATTTTGATATTTTTCACCTAGAAATACTTTTTAAAAAATTCTTATTTTACTATTCCGTTTCTTTTAAAGTACTGCTTCAATACGTTCAAGGATAAGTTTCAAGAATAGTTAATTTTTGTTACACTAAAAGTGAAATGAAATAAATAAATGAGATTTGCGAAAAATTTTGTTTACTGATTTTGAGTAGAATGGATTATTTCCTCTTGTAGAATAGAGTATATTTATGTTTTGCGTTTTAACCGTAATGTAAAGTAATTTGTTGTAAAGTAATCTTGACATTTTAATAGATTCAGTCAACTATGAATTTATTCGTTAATGCGAATCATTGTAATTTTTTTTCTCAAATAAAAGCATCCCGTTTCATTAAAAGCAGGTTTATAAACAACCGATTTACATTTGTCATGTGTCCCGCAGTGGACTGATCGTTAAGACACGGTTCCCAACAGATCACTGGCTGCGGTCAGTGTGCGGGTGGGTGACCACTTGGATCAGTCTGCGTAGGGACCGAGGGTGTGCGGTATTGGTCCTCGTTAAACTGTGCTACCGTAAAGTGCTCGACTTCGCGCGCAGGTCGTCGGGCTACCGAAGCGGGGGTGCCATCCCCTCCGCAGAGGATTAAAATTGTGATGGCATGTCTTCGGATCATCCTCCGGGATGTTTCCCAGACCGTCGCCAATAGCCCATTGTGCAGCTCTAGTGCGACGTAAATTAGCAACAACAACTATATTTGTCATGTTGTATGCACTGCCAAGTTACTCTGATGCAAAATCTAGTTATTATATGAAAATATAGAAAGCAAATAATTTTACTCACATAAAATCTTTCAAGTTGTTCAGTGCAATTATTTTACCCCACAACACAAAAACTTTTATTAAACAATAGTTGTGGCATCTCAACTCTGATTAATAACAATTTTATTTATCATTCAGTTTTTTTTTTAACTCATTTAACTTGCTATATGATAAATAATGTTCTAAGTTTTTAAGAAAAGTAATTAAACTTAAATTATAACTTCAAAATACATCTGTGAATAGAAATAAAGCGTTCGTAATATTAGTTACAACCCATCAAATTTTTAATTACTGCATTGAAATTGTCACAAAATTAAATGACATGTCACAAAAAATGTTACTTTTTTTTATTTATTTATTTATTTTGTAGTACCGTGGTGTAAAATGATCCATGCAAAAAAAATCAAAAAAAAATTTTTTTAAGTTAAATAATACATTTTAAAAATCATGTAACATAACTTTAAAAATCGTGCAAAAATTACCAAAATATATTAATACTTTTCAGAAAAGTCCGTCGAATATTTGTTTATTGAATATATGTCGAATATTTGAATATATATGGAATATTTTTAATTTCAACTTTTTAATTACTGCATTGAAATTGTCACAAAATTAAATTACATGTCACAAAAAATTTTACTTTTTTAATTTATTTATTTATTTAATTTTTTTTTTTTTGTCGCACCGTGGTGTAAAGTGATCCATGCAAGAAAAAAAAATTTAAAAGTTAAATAATACATTTTAAAAATCACGTAACATAACTTTAAAAATCGTGAAAATATATTATTACTTTTCAGAAAAGTCCATCGAATGTTTGTTTATTGAATATTTGAATATGTATGGAATAATTGCATTTATGTAGAGTATTTGATTAGTGGAAATATTATACGACCATCTTATAGCAATTACTATGCATATTTTTCTAAAAAAAATTTATTTCTCTTAAGAATGGAGTGTAAGGTTAGTACCATTTTAGCTATTGGGAAATGCCTCTAAAACTTAGAAGGCAATTTTAAAAGGGATTGGGTGGAAACTTCGATCGATAGTGTCTCCTGGGGATTTTATCTCCTTTCAGCATGTCAGTCCTACCCTAATTCCTTTATTACTGAGATAATGAAATAGTGAACCACCTACCTCTTCCCGTTCTTTGTGACAGTTGATATTCTTTTCTAAAGCATTTTTATGTTTATTTTCTAAACGTTTTACAATTGTTGTTAAATTAACCAGCTAACTTTAGTTTCTTGGAGTATTTTTCCAAATAAAGTTGTTTCTAGTCTTCGACATCTATCGTGATATTTTTCGCTACATCATTTTTATTTCAAATGTAGCAATTTTTAATTCTGAAAAGAAGTTATCTTTAAAATGAATAAAAACTGTCAACGTTTATTTTCATCCTATTAGCAATATTATATAAATTTCATTTTTAAGAAAGCGTGTAGATTAAAATAAGAAAAAGGAGGAAGATTATCTCACTTTTTTTAAAAAATAAATAAATAAAGAGAGAGAGAGATTGTCACTTTGACTGCTAAGAATTATTAGAATTATAAAATAACAGTGTCCTATTTTGTAAAAAGATTCAAATATTATTTATAATGAACTAAATGGAAAAAAAATTATTCTGAATAACTAAGTTACAATAACTTCCTAAAGAAAGTCTTTTTTAAATGAAGATCGATTTAAAAAGAAAAGAGTTCTAAGAAGTGTTATTTTTGAAAAAAATGAATTTTCTTGAGAAAAGATATTATTTTTAATTTTATTTAACTATTCAGCATGAATTTATTTTTTCAACAAGTTAAATTTCGCAGATCTCAGTGGATGAAGAAACTAGTTTACAATCTTTGAGTGTTTTTGGAGTGGAAGAAACTTCCAAGTGCATTTGTTATCAAGCAGTTGACTACTCTTTTAGAAAGTCACTCGTTTGACAACAAGTTAAGACGTTAAGAGTGCAAATGCTATAACGTGAACACTTCAAATAAGTGTTAGGGATTTCAAAATTTTCTCAATTAAAAACTTGTTGGAAAAAAATATAAAGCATAGTTTTTATTTCAGGTTATCGTAGAATAGGTTATAAAACTAATTTACTTAAATTCAGTTGAATGTCTCTTCGAATTTTTATCCTAAAATGTATAATCTATATTCAAATGTATAATTATCAAAAATGGTTCATCGTAAATAACAAACCTAACCTTAATGTAAAATTTTAACTTTATTTAAACTTAAAATAGTTTAGAAGGAACATTTTGTTTTTATCGTAAAAGCTGTCTTTTTAGTACTTGCAGAAAAAAAGTTTTTTTATTTAAATGACTTTAAACTACATAATAAACAAGTAGAATGGTAGCAATATAAAACATTTCCATTTAAAGTTATTTTGATCTATTTTATTCTCAGTTTGCAGGCTAATGAGAAAATATTCAAATTATTATCTTGAAAGCACAGTGCATGGTTCTAATATGTAAATTACCTTTTACCAAATAAGTACTTTTAAAGTAGCTATACCGTACCGAAATAATACTAAGTAATAGTTAGACGTAAAATGTCACCCTTGAAACAAAGTGTAGATTATCACTAATCATTTAATTATAATTAAGCCCTTCATATGTCTAAAAAAACATTGGGAAATAATGTTAAAACTGTTGAACATGGTCTGAAATGATGTTCCAACCAGAAAAAAATTACAAAAGTACGGGTTTATTAACATTTTTCATCATGTATAATTATTTCTTAACCTGTTTAATTAAACCTTATTAACATATTAAACATATTTTATTAGATCACTAAAATAATATAGTGGAATGAAAAGTTTTGATATTGATGTGGATTATTAAAGAGTATGACTTGTAAAGTTTTATTACAAAAATTATTTTTTATTACAAAGCATGCACTAAATAGCACTATAATTTTTAAAAAAATTTAGAAGATCAACTTTTGCTATAGGTAATGAAATGAAATGATTTTTATATTTAACTATTAAATTTTAACTGTGAAAAATAAAAATATTAATTGGCATAAAAAAAAAGCAGTCAGAACTTAAATATTCATTTGTTTGAAACAATGGCGTAGCTAGATGGAAGGGGACATTTGTCACCGGGTGCATCTTTAGAAGGGCGCATAATTTATAAAAAATTAATTCCAGTACAATTTTTTTTCTCTTTTAAATATCCTCAATTTCATTTATTAATAACGGGTCTCATAACTTCTTCAAATTTTTATTACTTTTATCTAAAATTGAAAAGGAAGTCTAATGTTATATTAGTTTGTTTTACATTTAGTTTTTTTTTTATTATTATTTTTAACAAATTGGCAAAATATTTATTGAAAAATACCCTTAAACATAATGGCATTGAGAAATGTATATCGATTAATCAATTAAGAACAATAAATGTAATCAAAAACATCTATGTGTAATAGAAACTGCATTAATTACATACTCTGTTAAACTTTAAATCAGGGCTGATTGTGCTCCGGAAAAAATCCGGATTTCCGGATTTTTCGCTAACAGTGATCCAGAAGTTTCCGGAGATTGAAGGTCCAGACGTTTAAAAAAATCATTGATCACAGAAGTTTCCGGAAATCAAATTTTCAAAGGTGGAACTTAAAAACACAGTTTATTTTATTTGTTTGTAAGGGAAGGCCAGAGAGATACTTTATAAGCTTATAATCATGATTATAATTAATATTAATTTTT